TGCAAGCATGGGTAGTCCATTTTTTGCATCTATGATGCGTCAATGTTCTCTTAGATCGGTCTTTGCTTTCTCTCTTTGGAAAAGAAAACGCACAGAAGGCAGGACATTCACAACAAAGGCAGCATCCTAGACCGCCATGGGTAGCTTACTGGGATCAGTACGGAAGAAGCCTCACCATCTACTTGATACTGGGGTCTGCCGCCTACCTCTGCACATGAGCCTCATGATAGGGTCTTGCAATGTCCTAGCGACAAGATACATGGGAAAGGGAGGCTCTGGCTGTTCCTCATGTTCAAATGAGAGTGAAATTCTATGAAATCAAGCTCATAGCGAAGGGAAAAGACCCAAAGCCACGATATACAAGCTGCAATCAGTTTGATCATACCCAAATAAAGTCATCAGACCAGCCATTCTCAAGCTGCCATCATCGTTGGTCAAATCTGAGCCATCCCTGAACTCTCCTTTTCGCTACAGGAAAAAAAACAAAATGTCTTGCCAACGCTACTGGCCTACAGACTTTCCTTCACAAAATCAATTTGTTCAAGTGCAGACAGTGAAGACATTATGCGATGGAGTATGCTGTGCATGCACAACTGTTTCAGGTCGTAGTTGTATCCTGCTGTGCCTTTCGACCAAAACAAACATTGTGTACCCTATACCATTTTCTCGTGCTTGTGAATTTGTACACATTTGCATGTCTTCCATGAGGCGCAAGTTGTCTTCATTTATTTCCACCCATAGTATACTTCGCTTGCTTTACCATCAGAGATCTCTACGACAACGCTCTGAGTGGGTCTATTCCATCCACCATCGGCAGAATGAGCAGCCTAAAAAAAATTGTGAGTATCGGCAAGGAATCCAAAAAGAGAGCCCTAACTGACCTCGCACAGATTCGTACATACAGGGGCCTCTGAAGGTGTGATTTGAGCAACTTGTTTTGAGAACGAGCATACAAGCTATGCATGAGGAGGGGGGAGTTTGCACCAGCGCGAATGTGAATTGAGATCCATTGGGGATGGAAGGTGCCCCTGAACTGGCAGAGAGAGGATGCAGTCATTCCTCCTGTGTGCCCACAGCGACGTGTCACTGTTGTGAGCCGGTCCATCTCGCCACTCATAGTGGTGAGCAGGATTTGCTGCAAATCTCTCCACATTAGCCTCACTATATGGTCCCAAAATGTCCAGGCGGTAAGATACATGGGCAAGGTTATGAGGCTCCCTAACTGAGCCTCCAGAGTTCAGTTTTATGGACATTGACAATAATATAAAGGGTTGGTCAATCTGTCCATGAAACATCTAGTGTCAAAATGCTAACGTTCGGCTACCCTGGCACATCATCCACCATTGTTTCTTGTAGCGTTGTGGAATAATGTCGATTGTAAAATTCAGCAGCTTCTTTGTGTTGTGCTCACAATCAAGCACCTTTTAGAGTAGGTAGCTTGTATCACAAATCACATATCAGCATGTCATGTTCACTCATCCCTCTCCTACATTTTAGTTCCGTTCTTTTTTTTTTAACAGTTTCATGGCACCCTTTTCATGGGTTGTGTAGCAATGGTTTGATCGTATCCGCTTTATATGCAGCCATATTCATGTGTCCATTAATTGAGGTATTGTTTTCTTGCTGTAATCAATGTTCCTTTGCGCCCATACACCCTTTATATGTTGTATCTTTAGGTCTCTTTTCGGCAATTCTCTGAGTGGGTCTATTCCATCCACCATCGGTGACATGAGCAACCTGGAGACGTTGTGAGTATCATGAAGGGAATAGGAAAGAGAGCCAACGTGAATCTGCACAAGTTTAGAGATTAGAAGGCCTGTGATGGCGACACCAAGTCAACTTGATTTGAGAACGAGCATACATGCTAGGCATGACCACGGGCTGGCGCTGGGTCGAGCTAGCCCGCTAACCCAGGGCCTGGGGGGGGGGGGGGGGGGGAGGGGCTATGGTAGGTCGGTTCTACAGCAAGTTTGCCAGAGATTTGCAGCAAGGCGAATAGTTGGTGGGCTCAGACCATGATACAACTAGTCATTGTACATGAACTTTATGCAGCAAGCTGACCCAACAGGCCGGGCTAATAATTGCGAGGCTGAGATCGACAAGCGGTACATGCATAAAGGGCAGTCCGGAACGTGCTCCAAATAGGCTGGCCCAACCACGCTGTCCCACGCCATTCAATTTGAACTACATCATGACTAGAGGGTCCAAGCTCGGCCATATGAGCACTTGGAGCTGTTGGAAATGACTCACAAATGCAAGGCTCCTATGAATAGTGGGTTTGAGCATAGGCCTATGATCAGCTTAGTCATTCCATTGCAAAACGAGCTGGCTGGCCGACGAGATGAGTGGGCAATTAATTAGGCGTGTGGCTCGCCTATGATACGCAAACCAATCGAGCCAGAACGAGCTTGTATGCCTCGCCACAATCTGTCAAACCCGCATCGAGATGCCAGTTTGCTGCGACGTGTATGTGGGTGTTGCGTTTTACCACCACATTCAGATAAAGTAGAAAACTTTTCATTGCCTTATCCATATGTAGTGCTCCTTCGAGTGGCAGTGAGGTAGGAACGAGCAAGTATATCCGTTTGAATACAGTGACTGCAGACCATATGTGCTCCTACTCGAATTCAATGCTACTCACCAGTGCCAGCTCACGTGTCAGGTGGGAGGACCCAAGCTTGTCATCTGGGTCGTCTCCACCAAAGTTTCCCCCAACCCCACAGGAGTAGGGTTGCAGCTAGATATGAGCAACGAACCGAACCTAGGTTCGGTTTGCTCAAACAGGTTCGAGGTAACTCGAACCGAACTTCTTTTCTGGTAAAAAAAGGTTGAGCAAACCTTGAAAAAGTTTGCGCGAACCGTTTGCTCAAACTTTCTAAGTTCGAGTTTAGGATTTCGAACCGAACAGTTCGAAGTTTGAAACTGTCTAATTCGAACCGTCTGGGGTATGAATTAGACACCCGCCAAATCCCACGCGACTTTCCCGTCAATAACGGGAAAGTGGAAGGGTTGGCTGCCATTTCACGGCAGCCAACCCTAAACTCGTAAATTAACTAGAGCAGATCTAGGTCTGCACTTATGATCTACCATTCATTAATTGGACCTTCCTCTTAAGATGCGTCATACATTCAGGCGTTAGATTGGATATAACAGTGCACACAAATTATGTTTCCAGCTGCAGCAGAGCATCCATTTTTTAACCCCAAACCTTCCTAGGTTCGAGTTCGCTCAAAACTTTCACGATTTGAGCAAACCTTTAAGGTTCACTCTTATATACTTTCACGATTTGAGCAAACATGTTTGAGTTCGGTTCGTGCTCATATTGCAGCCATCCCCCCAACATAATGCAACAGCAGCAGAAACTCCGCCAGCACACGCACCTCCTTGAAACGCAAGTAGAAAGCGCCCTCAACAGACTATGTGCTCCACAAGCATGCGGGAGCTCATGAGGAACTTGCTGGCGTCCTCCTGAGCCTCCAATAGCCACAAGCTCCATCCTCTCCGCTACAGCTCCAGCCTGCCCATCCACAAGGAGGCTGTCATGGCACCAGAGGCGGTGGCTGTGTCCTAGGAGGAAATGTGGACAGGGCTTACCCAGGAGAGACAGGTGCGTCCAGGACCAAGGGAGGTAGTAGCAGTGGGTTGGAGTGTGCAGATCTGTGGCAGGAAAATTGGAAGCCCATTGTTATGGTTCATAACTCGTGATGGTCCGTCCCATACGAAGCTTCGTGCAAGGAGGGAGCATCTGCACCAGCACATATTTGACTCGATATCCATTCGGGGTGGAATTCGTGGGGAGATTCCGGCGATTCCCCTTCTATGCCAATGTCTCCATCAGCAGGGGAAGGCTGGATTTGCTGCAGAGGCAGCCACTGTCGCATATTTTGCAGCTGCAGCAACGGCCGGCAAGTGTGGGGTCCGTCCTGATTGGGAGACCTACACTTTGCGTGCTGCTATTCACACCTTTTCTCAGCACTGTGATGAAAGCCGAGCAGAGGATGACGGCTGCTGAGAAAGAAAGGATTTCAGGCTTTGCTAACCAAGTACACTTTTGCCCACATGGCCGAAGCACTGTGCACTTTATCCCTGGCTGGGGAGGGAGACGGTGCATGGTGGTGACCAACATTGGCAGAGTGAATACGAGGGAAACTTCTCCCGCCCATGTAACGTGTCACCAGTCCAGGCCGCAAATCAGAGTGGTGATTTTTGGATATACCTGTGTACAGGGGCGAGCCGAGTAATGCTCGACTCGGCCCTAGCCCTGCGAGCCTCCCCACATGCACCATACCGGCATTCGTCACACCCCTGCATTCGGATAGGCTTAGCACTTTGAGAGAGGAAGGCCTATCAGGTGCAGCAGACCAGCATCAGTCACCTTGGAACCCCAGAGATAGAGGTGCGTGAGACAGGCCAAGGACCCAACCCCTTCCAAGGCACTGTCTGAAGCATTTGTGTGATCCAGGTTTAGCATCTCCAGTCTTGGCAGCCTGTAGAGGTGCTTGATGCCCTCTGCACTGAAGCCTGACGAAGAGTACAAGCTAACGCTCGTCAGATGGGTCATGGTGGACACGTGGGCGAGCATGGCATCTGAGAGGCCGTGCAGATTTGTCAGAATCAGGTCGGTTCCCCGGGATGCTGACTTGATCTGCTGCAGGTGATGGATGAAGAGGGAATGAAAAATAAGGGTATGGTATGGTCACCACCATGACACTCGCATAGAAAGCATGGCCTGTGAAACCATGAATAGTATGCCACACAGTTCAATGAGCACTCACCTCCCATGCGGTCTTCTGATCGTCGTCACTCTGGTTGATTCCCTGCTCCACAGTCATCCAATTCATGTACGCTGCCAATTCCTCCATCGCCATTTTCAACTCCTGCACCTCCCTCCTCCTCTCCTCCCTCTCCCTTGCCAACGCTGCTCTCAGCTCATGCTCTCCCTTTCTGGCCTCCTCTCGCAGCTCTCTCAAATCCAATCCCCTCCTTCTCGCAGCCACATCTCATTGCTCTTTCATAGAATCCTTGTGTTCAGCCACCCCCCCCTTCACTGCTCCCACCTGCCCTCGCATCTCCCTCATCTGCGCCGCTCGTCTCCTCTCAGCCTCCTCCAACTGCACTGCAGTTGATTGCTTCTGCTCAGCCAACCGCCCCTTCACTGCTCCTAGCTCCCCTTCCACTGCTGCCAGCTCTGCAGCCATCTCTTCTCCTCTCTCCTCCACCTCTCCTCTCATCTCCCTCATCTCCGCCACTCGTCTCCTCTCAACCTCCTCCAAACCCCTCTTCCTCTCCTCCACCTGTCCTCTCAGCTCCCTCATCTCTACTGCTCGTCTCCTCTCAGCCTCGTCCAGTTCCCACTTCAATGCTGCCAGCGTTCTCTTCCTCTCTTGCACCTCTCCTCTCAGCTCCCTCAGGTCCTCTGCTCTTCGTCTCTCAGCAATATTCACCTGCTCTGCAATAGCATCCTGGTGTGAAATCAGCGCCCTCTCCCTCTCCTCCACCTGCCCTTTCATATCCCTCATCTCATCCACGCGTCTCCTCTCAGCCTCCTCCAGCTGAAACGTACTTGACTGCTTGTGCTCAGCAAGCTCCCCTTTCACTGTCGTCAACTCCCCCTTCACTGTAACCACCTCCCCGTTCATTGAAGCCAATTTTGCAATCAGCTCCCTCTCCCTCTCCTCCACCTGCCCTCTCATCTCCCTCATCTCCACCACTTGTCTCCTCTCAGCCTCCTTCAACTCCCCCCTGGTTGCTGCCAACTCCCTCCGTGTCTCTTCCAGCTGCACGCCAAGCACCCTCATCCTCATCTCCATCTCATCTTTCAGCTCGTGTGCTCCGGCCGTACTTGCCATGACTATCGCAGCAGCCTCACCCATTGTGGCACACTTCCTACCCATGGCAAAACACGTGGGTGTGGCAGCACACAAGCGCACAACACAACAGGGTGTAGCAGCATCACGCGAATGGCGTACGGTACAGACATGGTTAGGAGGAGATGTGGAGGTCGGTTAGCAAGTCACATGGAAGAGCTTAGCGAGGCAGCATGCAAATGCAAATGCACTTGCTCTGCGTAATGAGAAATATGCAAGCAAGTGCCTTCGCAAAGGCAGCATTGCTCGGCGTTGAAACTGGAGAGGCATACAGCATGACAGCATTGTGACACATAAAAAACAAGATAAGCCAAAGGAGGAGCATACGGACTTATACGGACGTAGAACAATAATGGGACTAGTAATGGGACAAATGGACCGGACAAGGAAGGACGAGTGGCATGCTCACATGGGGCTGTGCCAAAGAGGGACGATTCCACGTGGCTGCGCCATGGTGAGGGCGATGAAGGGAAGGCGGGATGAGAGATTGAGAGAGGGGAGGAGAGAGGAGCATGCGAGATGGAGACAAAGGGTGCAGAAAAGGGTGTGGGATAGGAATAGTGCGGAAGGCAAAAAGAGTGGGAGGAATGATTGGCAGAGGGGAAAATCTGCAGTGGTGGAGGATAAATAGAGCGCACGGCATACCACTAGGCACTTGCTCGCATTTTCCAGCTTCATCAGCCCAGCCGTCACAACCAAGCCCTGATTATACACCCATGCTCTGACTTGCATGGGAGTCACGCCCATCCCCCACAGCAGTGCCATGAGCGTAGCCATGGCAGACCACAGCACGAGTAGATCAACTGCACCCGGATACTGCATATGTGGAAGAAGAAGGGCGTAAGCAATGTGCGCGTACGAACACGAGGGGCGGCAATACGTGATAGAATCTTAAAGGTGGCAGCAAAGTTGGTTGGTTTCAAAGCAAGCAAGTTGGTACCTGCAAAAGCATCAGCCACCCTAACTAGCACGCACCAGAGTGAGGAGGGAGTGAAGAAGCACGTTGAGATCGTGGGTATGAGAGTGAGGTAGGCTCGTGGCGTTCGGACACGTGGCAGTGGCGTTGGCCTGAGAGGCAGACAATACATACATGCAATAGAAGGGGCATGCACACGCAATAGAAGGGGCATCCACACGCAATAGAAGGGGCATCCACACGCAATAGAAGGGGCATCCACACAAAATAGAAGGGGCATCCACACGCAATAGAAGGGGCATCCACACGCAATAGAAGGGGCATCCACACGCAATAGAAGGGGCATCCACACGCATACACACCCGCACACACATGCACAACACGCATAAAGCACTCAAATTATGGTAACATCAGAACAAGTAAGAAATCTGTATGCAGTCAATCATAAACGACAGAGGCATAAGCGTTGTTCACTTGCTCGGGGGGCGGAGAGGGGAGCATGAGAGGATGGATGATGACTTGCTGGCTGCTGGTGTCACGTGGAAGCTGCAAAAATCAAGAGAAGGAACATGCAGAGCACGGATGCATGCAACCCAGCCCAGAATGCATGCATGAGTGCCACGAAACACGGCAGCTGAGACTCTCGAGGCAATGCGACTTTGAGTGTATGAACCGGTGGACAGGACAAAGAGCAGCTAGCTTTGACAGGACATGGGCATGAGACATGATTATTCGCTATGTTGGAGTGAGCATGGAGTGGTGAGCATGGAGTGGTGAGCATGGAGTGGTGAGCACGGAGTGGTGAGCATGGAGTGGTGAGCATGTGAAGGAGAGGCCAGCATGCATCAGATGAGACATAACCATCCTCTGCCACAGCAAGTCCCTCACGTCCTGTGCGATGATGGCACGCCAGGCATCCCTAGCAAGTGGCGTGATGCTGGTGAGTGTGATGGCCGTGGCGAGAAGCAGGGCCACGAGCAGCCCTTGCAGCAGCATGGCCGTTGCTGCAGTCATCCGAGGCATGACTGATGGGGGGAGACCAATGCTAAGAGGGTATGCAAGGGTATGCAAGGTCAGGTCGTGTGCAGGTCATCAGGTACATGAGGCAGCCAACAAGCTCTGGGTACGGGCCACTCGACTCTACGGACTCATCCGAAGGCAGAGCTGAGAGCGAGTGGCGAGTAGACAGAGGAGTGGCCTGAGGCGAGGAGTACGTGAAGCCGAAGCGCTGAAGGACCTGCTGCACCATGTGTGACTGAGTCAAGGTAATGGTGCGGCGTGCTCTGTCCCGAGTGATCTGCAAGCCAAGATAGCTGCGCAGTTCACCCAGGTCTGTGCACGTGTGTCTCTTCAGTAGCTCGGACTTCACGTAGGCGAGTCCAGCAGTCTCCGCTGTGGCAAAGACCAAGTCGTCGACGTACACGAGGATGTAGAACGGCGGCAGAGAAGTGTCGGTGCGCAGAAACAGCGACGGGTCAGCAGTAGAGGGAGCAAACCCAAGAGCCGCAAGCGTAGTCCTCAGTGTGTCGTGCCACTCACGCGGTGCCTGGCGGAGACCGTAGACTGGCCGTCGGAGGCTCCACTGGGTGCCAGGAGGGAAAGTCCCAGTGAAGCTAGGCGGACGGCGCAGCCAGATCTCCTCGTGCAGGCTGCCCTGCAAGAAAGCAGTGCTGAAGTCAAGAGAGTGAAGCTCGTAGTCGCGCTGAGCGGCTATGTGCAGCAGCACCCGAAGAGTAGTCATCTTCGGGGTGTGAGAGAAGGTCTAAAAGTAGTCAACTCCCTGCCGCTGACTGAAGCCACGAGCGACGTACCGCGCCTTGAAGACAGGTGGAGAGCCCGGCGGCCGCTTCACCCTGAAGATCCACATGCCACTGACGATGTTCGCCCCAGGAGGGGGAACCGCGTCAACGTAGGTGCCTGTGGACTTCCAGGAAGCCATCTCTGCATCCATAGCTGCCTGCCACTAAGAGGAGTAGGGACCCTCTACGGCCTCCGCGTAAGAGCGCGGAGTCGGGATGTCTAGTGCATCCGGGTCTCCCTCAGGAGCAAGCAGTACAGACGCGAGATTAGGTGAAGCAGCAGCCAGACAATGGAACTCCTCCTGCCTGTCCTCAAGGACGTCCGTGCCAAGAGCACACTCACCCCCGACGGACGGAGGACAGACAGACGCAGACTCAGCAACACGACTGGCAGCGTAGTCTAAACGACAGCGGGCAGCAAAGTCGACGAGCGCAGCGACAAGAGCAAACGCAGCAGTGGACTCAAAAGAGGGGTCAGTGACGACAGTAGCAAGGAGACGCGTGACAGTAGGACTGGCAGCACGAAGGGAGTCCGACTCCGGGTCGGCAAGCGCAGGAAGAGAGGACTCAGGAGGAGAAGGTAGAGGGGCACGCAGAGGAGCAAAGGACGGACGCTGAGACATCCAGTGCGTGCCAGGGACAGGAGGAGGACGCTGACGCGAACCGCGACCACTAGCGCGAGCAGTACGAACAGGCGACGCAGGACTAGACGCAGGCTCACGACGCTCAGCAAGACCTCCAGTAGGACCAGTATAAGGAGAGGGAGCAGGCAGTGGGGAGGTAGGCTCTAACAGTGACGGCAACTGGACAGACGGCGGACACTCTACAGAAGGAGGAAGACCAAGAACCTGCTGCAGGAGCGGAACGAAGTACGGCCGAGGCCGCGCGGGGACTCCAGGCACAGCAGAGACAGCACCAGAACCCCCAGCGGCAGCACCAGCGCCAACAGCACCTCCAGCGGCAGGACCTCCAGCCGCACCAGCAGCAGGACCACCGCCAGGACAGACAGCAGCAGTCTCAGCACCAACACCCTCAGCAGCTCCAGCTCCAGTAGGACCCGCAGGTCCAGCAGCTCCGGGACCGGCGGCACCAGCACCCTCGGCGGTCGAAGAAGCTCCAGCTCCAGCAGTACGCCTCCAGCGGCGAGCAAACCACTCGCGCAGCTCCTGTGGAGAGAGGGGCTCCCGCCGAGACGGAGCACCAGGAGAAACCCCAGGCTCAGCAGCCCCAGACGCAGCACCCCCAGGCTCAGCAGCTCCAGACTCAGCACCCCCTGGCTCAGCAGCTCCAGTCTCAGCACCCCCAGGCTCAGCAGCTCCAGACTCAGCACCCCCAGACTCAGCACCCCCTAGCTCTGCAGCTTGAGGCACAGCACCCCCAGGCTCAGCACCCTCAGCAGTAGCACCCCCAGGCTCAGCATCCCCAGTAGCAGCACCTCCAGGCTCGGCACCCCCAGGCTCAGCACCCACGCGCACAACACCCCCAGAGTCAGCACCCCCAGGCTCAGCACCCGCAGCAGCACCAGAGTCACCAGTAACCTCGACCGGGTCAATTGCGTCTACCTGGGACACACTTGAGGGGGCAGGAACCTGAGGGGGGAGGGGGTCTACCGGGGGGGGAACCGGCACAAGGAAGTCCGGTGGCGGGGGGAGGGAAGGAGTGCGGTAGGGGAAGAGGCGGTAGAAGGGGACTGACTCGTCGAACGTGACGTCCTGGGAGGACAGAACACGACGAGAGGAGGGGTGGTAGAACTACCACCCTGGAGCGTCAAGGGGGGAGCCAAGGAAGACACACGGAGCAGCACGAGGGGACAGCTTGTCCGCAGACAAGTCGCGGACAAACGCCCGAGATCCCCAGACACGGAACGCAGGCGCATCGCCGACCTTCCCCGTCCACAGCAAGACTGGGGACATCGCGGGCCGAGAGACCCTGGGGTGAAGGTTGAGCTGATGCGCCGCGTACCGAACCGCAAACGGCCACAGAAAATGGGGGGCAGCCGCATGCATCATGGACGTACGAGCGACATCCATGACCATGCCAATGCGGCGCTCAGCAATCCCATTTTGCTGTGGAGAGTCCGGAAGCGTAAAGGTCTGGCGGATCCCCCGTGCACAACAGTAGTCTCGTAGAAGGCGAGAGGAGAACTCCCCACCTCGGTCAGAGTGCAGACGCAGAACAGGAAAGTCCGAGCCGAAGCTCCTCCTGAGCTGGAGACGAGCCTCGCGGATCCAGTCGATCAGCACCGCAGTGACATCACCCTTGCTGCGCAAGGGGAAGACTGTGGTGTAACGCAAGTAGTCGTCAACCACCAACAGGAAGTAGCGCTCGTGACCCTGCCCACGGACGCGGGCCGGGCCACACACGTCAATGTGAAGTGTCTGCAGAGGAGCCTCTGTCGGGGGAAACTGGGAGGAGTGAAGAGCAGCCCTGAGGCGCCCCTCGACACAGGGGACACAGGAGGGTCCTGGTCCCGAAGGAAGGGGAGGGAGAGACCGGGGAAGACCTGAGACAAGGACACGGGAAGCCATGCCCCGAAGACGAGGCAAGGAGGGGTGGCCAAGACGGTGGTGCCACAGGAGAGTCTCGTGAGACAGGAGGCGACACGAACAGGGGGCAAACTCAGGGCCAGACCGGGACGCAGCAGCAAACACCTGACCTGACGCAGCTACCTGACCAGACGCAGGGACAGGAGGAGACTCAGTGGTCAGGGTGTAGAGGCTCGACCCCGGCCGACGCGAGAACGTGGCCAGGTGCCGGCCTGTGCGTGCGTCCCTGCAGTGGGTCACCCGCTGACTCGCAGGAGTGAACTGGTGAACCCCCGCATCCTGCAGGTCCGCACCACTCACCAAGTTCGTCGAGAACGAGGGAAGGTACAGACCAGACAGGGCGCCCGAGGGGGCAGCCGGACACGGGAGGACAGTGGAAAAGTGAGAGAGGACAGGACCCCCAGAGGGGTCAGCCAGGGAGACTGCAACCGGCCGACTAAGCGGCGTGAGTGTGGTGCGGTCTCGAAAGAAGGAGCGGGAAGCTCCTGAGTCAAGCGTGAAAGAGAGGGAGGACGAAGCCGACGCAGTACCTGAAAGCGCAGCCTCACCAGTACCTGAGCGTGCAGACACACTAGCACCTAGAGCAGCAGTCTCACAAGCACCTAGCGCAGCAGTACCAATGCCCGGGTCGGGCGGGAAACACCGGTAACAGTCACCCTCCTCACTAATAGTCACAGTATACATAGCAGCAAGGATAGCATCAAAGTCAAGATCAAAGATAGCTACACCAGCCCTAGACAGCTCTCCCCAGCGGGGAATCTCACTAGCCTCGGGGAACCGCTGACGCCAAGCGTCCGTCAGGCGGCCAAAGTAGCGCTGGGTGGGGTGGGCACCCCCACACTGCTCACCCACGCGGTCGCCGGAACGAAGGACGTAGGTGCACGGACCAGTACCCCCACCCCTCTGACGCTGAGTGTACCACTCACGGAGCTGCTGGGGCGAAGGGATGTCCCGCGAACGCTGCTGCTGCTGCTGTTGACGCTGACCACTACCAGCGCCGCTCCGCTGCGGGGCACCACCCCGACCAGCTCCACCTCCTCCACCAACACCTCCTCCTCCTCCGCCTCCACCGCCGCCACCACTCCCACCGCTGCCTCCACCACCGCCGCCTCCTCCGCCGCTGCCACCACCACCACCGCCTCCGCCACCACTCCTACCGCCACCCCCACTCCCTCCACCGCCTCCACCGCCACCTCCACCGCCCCCTCCAGCTCCACCCGCGCCCTTGCCCCCCTTGCCCTTGCCCCCCTTGCCCTTGCCACAGCGGCGTCTCCCGCTAGGGGCAGACGCCGCGCCGACCGACTCAAGACTAAGCAGGTCGGCAGCAGCAGCAGAGGCAACAGAGGGTAGCAGGGGGGAAGGAGAGCACCCCTCAAAGATGGGGGTGCGAGGGTCACCACGAGAGGCTCCTACAGCGACGATGCTCTTCTCCGCCGCTAGGAGGGCCTTCTCGAGGAGGTCGAAAGTGAGGGTGGTGGGACAGACTGAGAGAAAGCGGTCCCTGACTACGCGAAGGGAGTCAGGGAGGCGTGCGACTACGTAGTAGAGAGTGATGTACATGGGGGGGGGGGGGGGGTTCTTGGCGCAGAACTCAGCAGGAAGGGCGGCGCGGTAGCGAGTGTCACTAGTGCGGAGGTGCGTAATGAGGTCAGCGACAGTGGGAAAGGCAGTGAGGTCAGGAAAGAGGTACGGTAGCATGAGACGGCTCAGTGCAGCAGTGGCAGGGGAAGAGTAGCGCGCAACTACAGCGTCGTACAAGGTCTGAGCACTCTTGTACTGACTAAAGTGCGCGCGCTCAGTGATAGGGAGGTGGCGACGCACAGCAAGACATGCAGCAGCATCGCGGGTGGCCCACTGAGAGCGAACAGTGGGGTCAGCATCAGCAGCAGGGGCAGGAGAGGCGCCAGAAGTGAGGTCAAAGAGAGAGAGACCGTCCGCCCTATCCCACTGTAAGAACAGCTGCAGGTCGTCGAGCCAGACCTCAAAGTCAATGGCTCGACCCTCAGCGTCAAAAGCTAGGACACTAGGGGTAGCCATGACTACGACAGCGAAGCAGTGCAAGCAGTAGGGAAAGGGCACGCACTGACAGCGGTACGGTGCTCACCGGGCAGGGCAGGTCGGGCGGCTCGGCAGAAGGGCGGCTCGGCGGCTGCTGGGCGGCTCGGCTGCTGCTGGGCGGCTCGGCTGCTGCTGGGCGGCTCGGCTGCTGCTGGGCGGCTCGGCTGCTGCTGGGCGGCTCGGCTCCCGGGCGGCTCGGCTGCTGCTGGGCGGCTCGGCTCCCGGGCGGCTCGGGTGCAGGGCGGCTCGGGCGGGGCGGCTCGGCTGGGCCGGTACCGGGTGGCGGGGCCGTGAGAGCAGGGGCGACGGGGCCGTGAGTAGGGGCGGCGGTGTCGCGTGAGCAGAGGCGGCGGGGCCGCGAGAGCAGGGGCGGCGGGGCCGCGAGATCAGGAGCGGCGGGGCTGCGAGAGCAGGGGCGACGGGGCCGCGTGTAGGGGCGGCGGTGTCGCGTAAGCAGGGGTGGCGGGGCCGCGAGCGGCAGGGCCGCGACAGCAGGGGCGGCGGGGCCGCTAGTAGTGGGCGGCGGGGCCACGAGGGTAGAGGCGGCGAGGGCCGCGAGCGGCGGGGCCGCGACAGCAGGGGCGGCGGGGCCGCGAGTAGTGGGCGGCGTGGGCCGTAAGCGGCGGGGCCGCGACAGTAGGGGCGGCAGGGCCGCGAGAAAAGAGGCGGCGAGGGCCGCGAGCGTTGGGCGGCGGGGCCGCGAGAGCAGAGGCGGCGAGGGCCGCGAGTGGCGGGGCCACGAGCAATGGGCGGCGGGGCCGCGAGAGCAGGGGCGGCAAGGGCCGCGAGTCGTGGGCGGCGGGGCCGCTAGAGCAGGGGCGGCGAGGGCCGCAAGTGTCGCGGCCGCGACAGGAGGGGCGGCGGGGCCACGAGTTCAAGAGCGGCAGGGCCGCGATGGCAGGGGCGGCGGGGCCGCGATCGATAGGCCGGCCGCAGGGCGGCTCGGTGAGAGGGTGGCCCGAGGCGCGACTCGGGATGAGGGCGCTTCGGGCAGGAAAAAAAAAAGGTTATCGAGTGGTGGGCCCTAGGTGCAGCTCCCACAAGGGAACCTGCTCGATACCATGAGAAGAACTGAACGAGAATGAATGAACTATGAGTGAAGTGAGTACAAATAGGAAACCCTAATTGGGTTGTACCCCCTATGGGATACCCCACTATAGCCTACACAACAGCATAAGCTATACAATGTTCTGACAACGGCGTCCTACAGAGTGGCGCCGCATTTTGAGCGACTAGCGCGTGCAGTCGCTCGCTGCGCGGGTTGATCTCGCTCTGAAAGGAAGCTCCAAGTGCAGCAATCTAGTTTAGAGACGTCTCAAAACGCGCTACCTGGAAAAAAGCTCCAAGCGCAGCATTTTGCGATCTGGCGACCCTGTGTGCGACACTCAGTCGCGTTCGTCCATCTCTTCGCGTTGAGAGCTATGATCGAATCTCCACGCCACCCTGCCACGAGAATTCATCAGTGCGGAGTTTAGGGTTGACCATCGTAGCTGTTCCTGTTCGCCATCATGTCGACCAATGAGAGCCAAGCACTGCTCTCGCCGCGACTTGCCACAAGTAATGCCATCCAGGTCAAATCGATCACGGAATCGAGTCGGCCTATGGCGAATAGCGAAGATGTTATCGTGCCAGCGGACCTGGAAGATGACGTTGCTGGGTCAGCATCGGCGTTGCGCGTGTCGCCATGGTGCGCGCCGTGGCTGTGGTCGGCGGTTAAGGTGGTGCTGCTCGTGCTGCTCTGACACACCTTCAGCACGGCGCTCTCCCTGTAAGCATGCTGCTCTAAGCATGGCGCTGTAGCATGCCGCGCTTCCTGTAAGCATGCTGCTCTAAGCATGGCGCTGTAGCATGCCGCGCTCCCTGTAAGCATGTCGCTTTTCCTGTGTAGCCACCCTCCCTGTAGTTGCCACTCCCCCAGTGCGTGATCAAATTTCTCACAGGGCTGGCCATCCATCTAAAGGGCCCTTTCGCCTGTTCGTATCTCCCCTTGCAAGCAACCCTTTATCGCCCCCTGCTGTACCTGTGCACTCCCGCTATGCATTGCACTATCGCATCGCCATGCATGTACGCACGGGCGGGGCGGTGGTGGATGGAGGGGTGGGTGGGTGGGTGGGTGGGTGGCGGGGCCGTGGTGGCCGTCGGTGGGTGGGCAGGTACAACAAGGTGCTGATCGGTGCGAAGCACCGGCGCTTACCAGCGCCACTGCTCATGACCACCGTGCACTTCCTCGTGCAGGGCGCCATCGCCTCACCGCTGCTTCCACTCGTGATTGCCATCTTCTGGCGCGACTACTTTGTGTGAGGTAACTTGATGAGTTGACTCAAAAGTGTTTCTAGTCGACTGACTTTTGAGTCGCCTCAAAAGTCACCTCTGCTGCCACTCGTGGCTGCCCGCCTCCCCCATCTCCTGGCGCGACTACTTCGTGCAAGGTTCGCCGTGTGGGTGGGAGGGAGGGATTGAGAATGGGGATGGGCGCGCTCAGGAACTCGTGCATGCACGTTCTGCAACTTGTCCATTGAGGCTGGTTCGGTTCAGGCGGCTTTCTAATGGATGCTTACTTGTTTAAACGTGTGTTGGCCTGTGCCCTGTGTGCTCTGCCCCGTGCATGCAGTGGTGCCCATGGCAGTGGCCACATCGCTCGACATTGCCCTCTCCAGCTTCTCCCTCGCGCTCGTCACCCGCACCTTCTACTCCATGGTACGCTGTCCCGCCCTTATTCTCCCTCGTCGTCACTGTGCGATATCTTATCCGCTTCATTCACTGCAGTCTCCTTGGTCAAAATGATCCGCTTACGGGGGTTTGCTCAAGCGTGGGTGTACTCAAAAGTGTTTGTGATATCTTATCCGTTGCAGAAAAGGTCCAGTGTGGCACTCAAACTTGGGTGCGCTCCACACACACAGCACGTTGCGATGCATAGAGTAGAAGCATGGGTGGGCACCAGGCTCATCATCTCCGTCAGCGTGCTCGGCATAGGGTGGGGAGGGGGGGACGAGGGGGAACGGAAGGGAGAACGGAAGGGGGAGGGGGCTGGGAGGGTAATTCGATGACCATCCAACATTTTTTCTGCCGTGCCTCAGTTTTCCTCTTGTATCACTACCATTTCCGTGCGCTCCACCCCCCAATCAGCATTGCAACGCAACGCCTGATTTATACATGGGCGTCGAGCAGAGTTCTTTGACTTGATTCGCGCTTTTGACATTCCGTGTGGTGTGCCCACGAGTGGCGTGTGGTGCTCCCAGTGGCGGGGGAGACGGAGTTTGAGCTGCTGGGCTTCATCTTAGTCATGCTGGCCTCATTCACGGCGGGTCTCCGATGGGTGCTGCTGCAAGTGCTCCTCCAGGTAAGCTGCTGCTCACTGCTGCTGTGTATGCTGCTGTGTGCTGCTGTGCTATTGTGTGCTGCTGTGCTGCTGCTGTGCTGCTATGTGTGCTGCTGCATCAACCAACTACTCACCATCTCACCATCTCACAACATCTCCTGTTTACCCTTTACGCTCACAACATCTACTCACCATCTCACCATGCTGTCGTCGCTTCTACTGGTGACAGAGGGACACACTTGGTAAGCATCTGTCGCGTTGCCCCTTCCTCCTCACTCACCTCATATTTCCGGGTGCAGCCCCAGCTCCACAGTGCCTGTGTGCTGTGCTTGCTCTCCCACACGCCACAATCCTCTGGTTTCTCACCCTTCCTCGCATATTTGCTATGGTCACGCCATCCTCATGCCACTATCTCCTTTCCAGTCCTCCTAGTTCCCCTTGCGTCCCACCAACCGCAAGTCCGCCCTCCCTCTACCCCAACAGGCCTGACCAACCTGCTGCTCACGTTGCTGCAGTATCTGGCGCCCGTGATGGCGCTTGTGTGCGGCATCTTCTCGCTGCTGCACGAGCCGTGGTCCTCGCTCGCCTCCTTGCCCTACTTTGACACGTGGCCTCACGCCCTCTGGACCCTCGCCGTCATGCCCGTGGGGGGCGTCCTCGCCTTCTGCATGGTGGGTGGTTGTGGGTGTGGGAGGGGGGGGGGGGGGAGAGGGGGGAGGGGGAGGGGGGAGTGGGGGGGGGGGGGGGGGGGGGTTGTTTGTGCGTGTGTGTGTACGAGTGCGTGCGTGCGTGCGTGCGCGTGTGTCTGTGTGTGCGCGTGTGCGCTCATGCGCGCGTGCGTGTGTGTGCATGCGTGTGCGTGTGTGTGCTGTGTGGCAGGTTGTCGCGCAACAAGGCACGTGAGTCTGAAGGCCATCGGGTGCACGCGCTCCCTCACCACCCGGGGGCAGGCCCTCGGACCAACTCTAGCTGTCTTTTGAGTCGACTCAAAAGTCGTCTGAAGGCCATCGGGTGCAAAAGCGCACTGATGAGCTCCTCCCTCACCACCCGGGCAGACCCTCCGAGCAACTTTAGCTGCTGCACCACCCCGCCTCGCTCTACTCGTCCGCCCCCCCAGCGTATCATCGCTCCCCCGCGTATCCTCTCTCTCACCGCGGCACCCCAGACTCCAGCTTATCCTCACATGTGCTGCTATCCACCAGCATGAGTTCCGTTGATCAAATCAGAATGGCAGGTTCCGCAACCTAGACAAGATGCGGCTGTTTTTCTAGATATAACCGGAAAGTGAGTCCCCCTGGTCTAAAGAGGACCTTTTTAAGTTCAAAAAGTGATACCCTTTTTTATCTGTTTGTCCCAAGTTATATCTGCACTGCTTACTTGCCAAATATGCAAAATTGGGCTAGTTTGAATGAAGTTACTGTGGAAAGAAAGAACACGAATGATTGAACTATGAAATGTGTGAGTACAAGTACCAACCCTAATTGGGTTGTACCCCCTATGGGATACCCCACTATAGCCTACAGAAAAGCATAAGCTATAATCTTCTGACACACCCCCATAGGCAAAGTGGGGGAGAACAAGGGGTCACAAGACCAGTCAAGCAAAGCAAAGCAAAGCTCAGGGTGGATCACAAAGTCACCACACAGTCCGAGCACAAGGTCAAGGCCACAAGGCCAGTTCACATGCAAGAGAAGGCATATATATATAAGGCTAAACAAGCAAGAGCAGGTATATATATATGCAAGAGTACAAGCAAGGTCAAGAGGTGAGCAAGTGAGGTAGGACAGGTACAAGTCCCAGCTGAGTGCAGAAGCGCTGATGATCACAAGGCGGAAGTGCCTTGGTGAAAACATCAGCAGTGTTGGCCTCAGAGGCCACGTACGCAAGTCGCAACTGACCACGCTGCTGCAGCTCATGAGCAAGGAAGTAGCGGAGAGCAATGTGCTTCGTTCAATGCTCCAAGCGCTGCTCTCGACACAAGGCCAGCATGGCCTTGTTGTCTACGTACAGCATTGGAGGAGAACGAGGCGGCTCTCCAAGGTCAGTCAGCAGGTAGGTGAGCCAGCAAAGCTCCTGTGCAGCCATGGCCCTGGCGTAGATCTCAGCCTCACAATTGGAGCCGAGAACTGAGGACGAGCGAGTAGCCCGCCAAGAGACAGAGCCAGAACCAAGACTGAAGGTGTACCCCTCCGACGACCGCTGCTTAGCCTGGTCGTCAGCCCAAGAAGCGTCCGCGTGACCAGTGAGGACCACTGGACTCCGCCCTCCAAGCACTAGCCCCATGCCCGACGTACTGCACAAGTAGCGCAACACCCTCTTCGCTGCAGCCATGTGCTCTAGTCGGTGTCTCCCAGGAGCAACATAGCGTGCAAGAATGCTAAGAGGGTATGCAAGGTCAGGTCGTGTGCAGGTCATCAGGTACATGAGGCAGCCAACAAGCTCCGGGTACGGGCCACTCGACTCTACGGACTCATCCAAAGGCAGAGCTGAGAGCGAGTGGCGAGTAGCCAGAGGAGTGGCCTGAGGCGAGGAGTACGTGAAGCCGAAGCGCTGAAGGACCTGCTGCACCATGTGTGACTGAGTCAAGGTAATGGTGCGGCGTGCTCTGTCCCGAGTGATCTGCAAGCCAAGGTAGCTGCGCAGTTCACCCAGGTCTGTGCACGTGTGTCTCTTCAGCAGCTCGGACTTCACGTAGGCGAGTCCAGTAGTGTCAGCAGTGGCAAAGACCAAGTCGTCGACGTACACGAGGATGTAGAACGTCGGCAGAGAAGTGTCGGTGCGCAGAAACAACGACGGGTCAGCAGTAGAGGGAGCAAACCCAAGAGCCGCAAGCGTAGTCCTTAGTGTGTCGTGCCACTCACGCGGTGCCTGGCGGAGACCGTAGACTGGCCGTCGGAGGCTCCACTGGGTGCCAGGAGGGAAAGTCCCAGTGAAGCCAGGTGGACGGCGAAGCCAGATCTCCTCGTGCAGGCTACCCTGCAAGAACGCAGTGCTGAAGTCGAGAGAGTGAAGCTCGTAGTCGCGCTGAGCGGCTATGTGCAGCAGCACCCGAAGAGTAGTCATCTTCGGGGTGGGAGAGAAGGTCTGAAAGTAGTCAACTCCCTGCCGCTGACTGAAGCCACGAGCAACGTACCGTGCCTTGAAGACAGGTGGAGAGCCCGGCGGCCGCTTCACCCTGAAGATCCACATGCCACTGACGATGTTCGCCCCAGGAGGGGGAACCGCGTCAACGTAGGTGCCTGTGGACTTCCAGGAAGCCATCTCTGCATCCATAGCTGCCTGCCACTAAGAGGAGTAGGGACCCTCTACGGCCTCCGCGTAAGAACGCGGAGTCGGGATGTCTAGTGCATCCGGGTCTCCCTCAGGGGCAAGCAGTACAGACGCGAGATGAGGTGAAGCAGCAGCCAGACACTGGAACTCCTCCTGCCTGTCCTCAAGGACGTCCGTGCCAAGAGCACACTCACCCCCGACGTACAGAGGATAGACAGACGCAGACTCAGCAACAAGACTAGCAGCGTAGTCTAGACGACAGCGAGCAGCAAAGTCGAGTAGCTCAGCGACAAGAGCAGACGCAGCAGTGGACTCAAAAGAGGGGTCAGTGACGACAGTAGCAAGGAGACGCGTGACAGTAGGACTGGCAGCACGAAGAGAGTCCGACTCCGGGTCGGAAAGCGCAGGAAGAGAGGAGTCAGGAGGAGAAGGCAAAGGGGCACGCAGAGGAGCAGTGGACGGACGCAGAGACATCCGGTGCGTGCCAGGGACAGGAGGAGGACGCTGACGCGAACTGCGACCACTAGCGCGGGCAGCACAAACAGGCGACGCGGGACGAGACGCAGGCTCACGACGCTCAGCGAGACCTCCAGTAGGACCAGTGTAAGGAGAGGGAGCAGGCAGTGGGGAGGCCGGCTCTAACAGTGACGGCAACTGGACAGACGGCGGACACTCTACAGAAGGAGGAAGACCAAGAACCTGCTGCAGGAGCGGAACGAAGTACGGCCGGGGCCGCGCGGGGACTCCAGGCACAGCAGAGACAGCACCAGAACCCCCAGCGGCAGCACCAGCGCCAACAGCACCTCCAGCGGCAGGACCTCCAGCCGCACCAGCAGCAGGACCACCGCCAGGACAGACAGCAGTAGTCTCAGCACCAACACCCTCAGCAGCTCCAGCTCCAGTAGGACCCGACGGTCCAGCAGCTCCAGGAACGGCGGCACCAGCACCCTCAGCGGCCGAAGAAGCTCCAGCACCAGCAGTAGGCCTCCAGCGGCGAGCGAACCACTCGCGCAGCTCCTGTGGAGAGAGGGGCTCCCGCCGAGACGGAGCACCCGGAGAACCTCCAGGCCCAGCACCGCCAGACGCAACAAGGGGAGGTCCAGCGGCCGCAGGCTCCGCACACCCAGGCTCAGCAGCCCCAGACGCAGCACCCCCAGGCTCAGCAGCTCCCGACGTAGCACCCCCAGACTCAGCACCCCCAGGCTCAGCAGCTCCAGACGCAGCACCCCCAGGCTCAGCACCCCCAGGCTCAGCACCCACGCGCACAGCACCCCCAGGCTCAGCACCCCCAGGCTCGTCACCCCCAGGCTTAGCACCCACGCGCACAGCACCCCCAGAGTCAGCACCCTCAGGCTCAGCACCCTCAGCAGGACCAGAGTCACCATCAACCTCGATCGGCTCGACGGCGTCTACCTGGGACATAGCTGAAGGGGCAGGAACCTGAGGGGGGAGGGGGTCTACCGGGGGGGGACCTGGCACAAGGAAGTCCGGTGGCGGGGGGAGGGAAGGAGTGCGGTAGGGGAAGAGGCGGTAGAAGGGGACTGACTCGTCGAACGTGACGTCCTGGGAGGACCGAGGCGGGGGGATGTCCCGAGCACGCTGCTGCTGCTGCTGCTGCTGCCGCGGACCACCACCAGAGCCGCTCCGCTGCGGGGCACCACCCCGACCGGCTCCACCTCCCCCGCCACCACCTCCTCCACCTCCGCCACCACCACCGCCTCCGCTCCCACCGCCTCCGCCGCCACCGCCTCCGCCGCCGCTGCCGTCGCCACCGCCACCACTCCCGCCACCACTCCCACCGCCACCCCCACTCCCTCCGCCGCCTCCACCGCCACCCCCACCGCCCCCGCCAGCTCCACCCGCGCCCTTGCCCCCCTTGACCTTGCCAGAGCGGCGTCTCCCGCTAGGGGCAGACGCCGCGCCAACCGACTCAAGACCAAGCAGGTCGGCAGCAGCAGCAGAGGCAACAGAGGGCAGCAGGGGGGAAGGAGAACACCCCTCAAAGATGGGGGTGCGCGGGTCTCCACGAGAGGCTCCTACAGGGACTATACTCTTCTCCGCCGCCAGGAGGGCCTTCTCGAGGAGATCGACAGTGAGGGTGGTGGGACAGACTAAGAGGAAGTGGTCCCTGACTACGCAAAGGGAGTCAGGGAGACGAGTGACTATGTAATAGAGAGCGATGTACATGGGGGGGGGGGGGGGTTCTTGGCGCAGAACTCAGCAGGAAGGGCGGCGCGGTAGCGAGTGTCACTAGTGCGAAGGTGCGTAATGAGATCAGCGACAGTACGAAAGGCAGTGAGATCAAGAAAGAGGTACGGTAGCATGAGATGGCTCAGTGCAGCAGTGGCAGGGGAAGAGTAGCGCGCAACTACAGCGTCGTACAAGGTCTGAGCACTCTTGTACTGACTAAAGTGCGCGCGCTCAGTGGTGGGCAAGTGGCGACGCACAGCAAGACGTGCAGCAGCATCGCGGGTGGCCCACTAAGAGCGAACAGTGGGGTCAGCATCAGCAGCAGGAGCAGGAGAGGCGCCAGAGGTGAGGTCAAAGAGAGAAAGACCGTCCGCCCTATCGCACTGTAAAAACAACTGCAGGTCGTCGACCCAGAGCTCAAAGTCAATGGCTCTGCCCTCATCGTCAAAAGCGAGGACACTAGGGGTAGCCATGACGAGAGACTAGCAGTGCAAGCAGTGGGGAAGGGCACGCAGTAGCA